TCCTTTTCGGAGTCTTCGCCGGAAGGCGGACGGAGAACTGACACACGCAGAGTGTTGCCCCGGGACCACGAGATGGAGAGGCGAGCGATCGGAGGGTTGAGGCCGTGGTGAAGTGAGTACACGACGGGTTGCCGGATCTCCGGCGAGTATGGGACCATAGCGGTGTCATTGGAGCCTAATGCGCCGGGCGTGTCGCCGGAGTCATAGGCGACGCCGGGCATTTTGTGCCAGAGATGGGAGTGGGGAGTGAATGGGATTTAGGGTTTTGGGAGAGGTTTTGTGAGGGGGAGAAACTAGAGGGAGAGTCAAAACGCGCGTAGCGGTGAAAGTTAAAGACGGAATGAGCAATTTGGGAACCGGATCCCCTCAACTGAGCTACTCGTAAAATGATCCGGATCATTGAAATTTGATCCAACGATTATAAACAGAGGATCCTTAAAAGTTATAATAATTGTAGCTGTTGAATTAAATTTCAATAGTCCGAATCATTTGATGAGTAGGCTCAGTTCCTTTGAATCCTCCCGTTTACAATTTGGTATGTTTGGCAACAGATAAATGTTATCCAGGCGCCATTGTTGTCTTTTTCTAGCTTATAGTTACGGCTCTTATCTATCCAATTGTGATTAATTATTATATGGTTATAAATGTCATAATTAAGTTCGACTCTCTCTTAATAATCATAATAATTTGGTACGAATTCGCATTTAGTAATAATCAAACCTAATTACAATTGAGTGGAATCATTAGTTCCAGCCAATTCAATTTTCATTTAGTTTGGATTTTTTTCGATAATTGATGCTATAGAGAGATCACATTTTATAGACCGCAATATATTTATTCACAAATTACATGATCCCCAATATCTTTACTCACAAATTACAAATAATTTGGATTGTTCCCCACAATTACATATAATCTCTTTATTTTCTAATCAAACTCTCACTTGACATCATATATCAAGCACTTGGGAAAACCAACTGGGCAAAGTTTCTGTACAAACTACAAAGAGATTTGTATTACAAATTCAAACATATTTGCATTGCCTTTGTATTTCATATTTTGGAATTACACGCCTGGATTTATCGAAGAAGAACCGAGACATTCCCTTATCATCTCTTGAATCTTTCTCTTCATTAGCTTGTCTTTAACACCAGCAAGCATGTTCCGGTAGAACTTTTCCAGCCTGACGAGATTGGCCCGATCTGCTGACTCTAACATGTTCTCCCATTCCTTTGCAATGTCATAAGTACCCGAGTTCTGCAACGAGACTGGAATATCCTGCTCTTTAAAAGGTTTTCCGAATATTGAACCATGAAGTATGCCAGTATACTTTTCCATGACTGAAAGTTTTGACTGCAGAAGCTTCATCTCTTCCATTGCCAAAGACAACCTGTTCTCTTCTTTGGCGTCTTCTGTCAAATTTCTTTCACCAGTGTTATCTCCGTCATCAAGAGGCTTTTTCTTATCGACAGTATTGAATTCTTCTTGCTTGAAATCATCTGCAAGCGGAGGCCACAAGACAACAGCAGGAGAATAACAGTCAGTTGTCTTACCATTTCCGAGAACCCCACTCCTTCCTCTCCCCCATGACCAAAGTTTAAATCCATCATTTGCAACAACAACAGTATGGGCAGCCCCACAGACAACTTGGATTGGATCCTGAAATTTTGCACCATTCAATTCATTAATCTGTAGGGGAGAAATGGCATCCCCCGAATCAGTCCTACTAAAACTCGCATCTGGGCATAGGCCAAGACCCTTCTCCATTCCCCACGACCACACATCTCCCGCGGACGAAACAACACTAGTGTGAAATAAGCCACAGTCAACAGACACCAGATATACGTACTGTGGCAACTCTTTCACAGGTTCAGGAGACAATCCACTTCGGGTGGTTCCATGCCCGAGCTGCCCATTTTCTCCGAGGCCAAAAGTCCAGCACATACTTTCCAATGTGTCACTTGGCCTTTTTTTGTGGGTGAGCAAAGCCGTGTGAAATGCCCCACATGCTACCTCATAAACTGCGAAAGAGGAGTCGTGATCAAAAGGTTCTACTATTTGGGGACGATTCCTGCTCTCTTTATCCCCCAGGCCTAACTGGCCATGGCTGTTACCGCCCCAAGAGAAGCAAACAAGATCTTCACCTTTATATGTTTCTTCGGCAGAAACCAGGGCCACAACGTGCTCATTTCCACATGCCACCTTCACAACAACGTGGCCATGGAAATCCCAAACAGGAGTTGGGGTGAAACTGCTCACCAGAGAGAACCCACCTTCATTGCTGCTGCTTTCATGTGGGAAATTTCCCCACACCCAAAGGGTACCTAGATTATCAATTGCTAGGGACGTCATTCCTCCAGCTTTAACAGAACAAACCTGATGCAAAAAAAGCATGTAAGGTTCTTATCTTCATCAGGTATTTATTTCGGTGAATACAATTTTCTTCAATACCTTAAGTGGCACTTCACTCTCCGTTGCAGATCCCCCAACAAGAAACTGCTCCAGCAAGCAGGGCACCAAAGAATTTTCTCCATTTACACCCAGTTGGCCATCCATTTAACAGTCAAGAACTTAAACAATATAAACGAGGAGCAAACACAAAGGCAAATACTAGGGATTCAATTTCCATAAAAGGTCGTACCCAGTGCACAAGGCTCCCGCTTTACGCAGGGTCTGGGAGAGGTGAATGTCGACTAGCCTTACCCCCATTTATGAGGAGGCTGCTCCCAAGTCTCGAACCCGAGACCTACCGCTCATGGGCGAAGGCACTTGCCATCGCACCAAGTGCGACCTCTTAAAAGAGATACCACAAACCTTATGTGATGAATATAAAGGTCGTAGCCAGTGCACAAGGCTTCCGCTTTACGCAGGGTCTGGGAGAGGTAAATGTCGGCTAGCCTTACCCCCATTTATGGAGAGGCTGCTCCCAAGTCTCGAACCCGAGACCTACCGCTCATGGGCGAAGGCACTTGCCATCGCACCAAGTGCGACCTTCAATTTCCATAAGTAAGTTATTTCGTTGCATTGAATTAATAATTAATATGTAACCCTATAATGAAGGATACAGATGTTGTAACCCCAGCACCAAACCGATCCATCATCTGCCACCACAAAACTAAAGTTAGAACACAGCAGAATCATGTCTAGCGTTCGATTATTTCATTGTTGTATTACTTCAATCTTCGAACTAGATTCCGGCTAAACCTATTCCCAGATGCATGTTCTTGGCCCTGATATCTAACTTATTGACTAAACACTAACCTGTATAGTTGGTTTATTTATATTATCATCATGAAGTTTGTCAAGGAACAAAACCCCATCACTGTAACAAACAAAAACAAAAGAGCATTTTAAATGCCAATAGCACCCAGTAAAAACTTCAAATTTGCCTTCTATGTATGCAAATGGAGGACAGTAATGAGCTTTTAATAAGAAAATATTTAAACTACTCTAATCTACGGGAAGCGGGATTCAAACTTTGGTGCAAGAGGACCGGCACACCGCCCTATCCAACCGGCCTAACCCACTACTGAGGAAAGTTGTGAACTTTAACCATCAGAATTAATCACACATTAAACGGTAGAAAACACCAAAATCTGATCAAAATCTGAAAACTGACCAGCAAGAGCAAGACTGTGGTAGGCACCGGCTGCAACTCCCACAAATTTGAGCCCCGTTCCTTTTGCACTGCGAGGATCATTGAACTTGATTCGGACAGGGAAGAGCTCGTCGGATTCTGAACCGGTCCCGAGCCTCCCAAACATGCCTCTTCCCCACGAATACACAAACCCATCGCCGGTGAGAGCCAGAGTGTGTGATTCGCCGGCGGCCACCGCCACCACCTTGCGAGACAAGTTGCGGCCGTGCGGAGGACTGGCGCTTTCCTCTTCCATTTTTGGAGCTGGAGAGACCCAGAAGATAAGGTGTTTGAGAAAATGCCGATGAAAAAAGCAGAGGTCTTTTTCTTTTGCAGGAATTTCTCTGTGCAATGACCCTGCTGACCAGATGTATGACAAAATGCCAGTGAGAGTTACCCCTTATATGCTAAAATTTTGAGAGATATGTACTACCTATGTGACAGTTGAGCACATTTTAACCGTAATATTTTCTTATTTGGAATTTCCCACGCTTTTTACGCACTCGTGTTTATTTATTTATCTCATTTTTATTTATTTATCCAATCTAAATATTATTAATTGATAAAATAAAAAATAAAATTGTTTCTTTTTTGTTGATGACCGACAAATCGTCCTTTTGTACATTCGGTATAATATGAGGCGGTATTGTATTTTGACAGCTCGATGATCACAACGAACTTCTCTTTTGTTATTGTCCTTATTGTTTGTTATTATGACTAAGGGCTTAAAAGAAGGTGACGAAAACACCTGAAATTTCCATGCAATTACGAGCAACCAATTGAAAAACACCGTAAATCAAATGTGAAACAAAAATAAAACTTGGGTCTTGTTCAAGGTGACTTTAGTCGACCTTGATAATGCTAATCTATTTCTTGATTTGTAGTGTGAAGTTGTGATTGTCAGATGCTTAACTGGAATTAAGAAGCTTATCCACTTAATTCTGTTTCTTGTCAAACAATTGATCATTATATTTGACTAAATCTGTCACAACTGAATGTATAGTTAACTTCTTGCTTAATCAACAATTCGAGACATGTCAATTCATTTCACAATACAATGAGAGATTCTACCATGGCATCGAATATACATTTCTTTTTCTATAAGGCGTAACGAGTCTGTATACTAAGTGACACGACATATTTTCTTTCACATTAGAATGTGCATGAATTGGTCAGCATCCATCTCTTTCATTAAGCAATACTATAGTTTCATCAAATTTATGCAAAAAACACTTATTTTGTCATTTTCTTTCAAAATACTCGTAATTTTCGTTATTTTTACACTTATCTTTTTGGGATAAAATCTAACACTTCTCATGCCTGCTTGTAGACAGTAATATGAAAATTGAAGACAATATTTGTTCGAGTAATTAATAGTAAACCCTTGGCCATCTCTTCGAGATTTTTGTTAATTTTCAAGTTTCCCCTGAGCAATTTGTCATTTCCTTTTCAAATCTACATAATCCCTCAATCTATTTACAATTATAAATCATCCCTTCTAATAATTTAGTTTAATTTACATTAGAAAGATTATTTGGATCGATCAACGATTACCATATAGACCCTCATCAGCATTGTCAATGTCATCTTGATCATGATTAGTGGCATAATAAGCAGCCAAATTCAAGTACTTATCCTGTTCCATAATCCTATTAATATCCTTCAACCTTGCCCTACAAATCCCACAATTCGCCGACCTTCTCCCGCTGCTCCGCTTCCACTTCATCAAACACTCTTCGTGAATAGGGTTTCTGCACGCCCCGCAAGCCACCACTCTCTCCTCCCTTCCCGCCATCTCCTCCAAACAAATAGGGCAGCTCCTCCCCTCTTCAATCTCCAGGTCATGGCGTGGCCTTGTTGTCGACGAAGATTCCTGAAAAAACAGCTGATGAAACCTCTCTCGAAGGCTGACAGCCGCCAGTGATTCCGGCAGCATAGGCAGCCCTAAGAGGCGGCTGACCTGGCACGACCGCAGCGTCTTCCTCCTCAGACACGCGTCATCGAGGGGGAGGCCCAACACTCGAAGGAACACGAAGAGGATGTGCTTGCATGGGGTTGTACGGTCAGGGCACGTGCATGAAGGGGTGGCGGATAAGGAGACAGTGTACACATTCCCCGTGGCACCTAACACAGAAAAGTTGGATTCGCGGTGGTGAAGGAGTCGGAGGTTGTGGTGCAGGGCTCGGAGAATGCGGTCGGCGAAGGGCTGCGTGGGTATGATACGTGTTCGCGGCCGCTGGGCCAGGCGGTGGTTTTGTGGGGAGGAGTTGGAGGCGACGGACTCCATTAGGGCAGTTACGCATGCAGTTAGGGTGGCAGTCGGAAATGTGATTGTATTGTTGGAGAACAAAAAATGTGAGAAATGGGAAAGAACTGTTTGTTATGTGGGAATGGTGGGATTCTTTGTGTGAGATGGAGGAGTACGTGAGGGATAGCGGGAGCGTAGGGAATTGGATTGTGATGGTAGACCCTCAAGCCACGTTATAGGGCAACCATTTGTTTTCTGCACTTGCAAATTGGTCTCCAAGACTATTTATTTTCTGTAATGCATTAGCTAGCACCCAAAAAAGTGAGCCTATATAACTCTAAATTCTTACCAACCTTTTGTATATACTTTCTCTTTGGACGATTCTTGCGTTCCCCGCTTGGGAATGCACATATTCCACCACTTCGGTCCTTTTTTTTTTTTGTTTGAACAAGCCTCGGGTGTCCCCTAGAGTACACGCAACATATTATAGTAAGAAAAGATTATTAACATTATAGGTTACAAACGCATATGAGTTAGGTCAGTTGGTTAAAACTATATGACAATGTATGTACGGTGACTTAGGTCCACATGTTGGTTCTTTTGGGCCTACACCCATAAAGTTTTGTGAGTTTGAACGACTGAGGCCCTAAAGAAACAAAAATATTTGTATTTTTTTTTTTTTTTTTGTCGAACGAAAGATTTTGTTAGATTAACTATCGACGGAGTTCAAGCTCACGCCGTCATGCAAGAGTTCAACGCCTTTCAACCACTAAGACTTTAATTACATCTAATACTCTTGAAACTCAAATTCGTTCTCATAGGGATTCTCAAATCTTGTCCGTTTATCGTACATCGTGTGGCTAATTTTTGTAAAGTATTATTCATATTTAATTTTAAATAAAAGTATTTAAAATGATTTCTGACCACACGATGTACGATAAACGGACACAATTTTGAGGATCCCGGGGATCCTCATTCTTTAAATTCAATTTATTTCTCTAGAATATCTACCGTCTACCCTTACTATTCCGTTAAAAAAAAGGCATATTTGTCGATTTACCTCATGAACTTGTATAGAGCTGCCAATTTCCCACCTAAACTTTAATTTTAGCTGATTACCCCCTTGAACTTTTATAATTACCCAATTTCCCCATTGAACTTTAATTTTAGCCGATTATTCCCTTGAACTTTTATAAATAGCCAATTCCCCCCTAACGTTAGATTTTAAAAAATTTCATCAAAAATTTCATCCATCTTGATCACGAAAACAACTATATGAGGGCAAAAACAATTAAAAAACGGATGGATGAAAAATTGAATGAAAGTTTTTAAAATCTAACGCCGAGGGGGAATTGGCTAATCATAAAAGTTTAGGGAGGTAATTAGCTAAAATTAAAGTTCAATTGAGAAAATTGGCAGGTTCATACAAGTTTAGGGACAAATCAACAAATACCTCTAAAAAAAACTAACGAAAAGTCCAAAAAACTTTAGTTTTAACGAAAAATGACAAATAAAGGTGTAGTGAATAGTACCAGGAAAGGTAAAAATGTGGTTTTTCGTTAAAAGTGAACAATACCATAAGTGTTTCGTTAAAACTCTCTTAAAAAAAAGGGTTAAAACTGCTTTGTTGGCACGAAAAGGGCCCACTTTTGCTGAATTGGTCAAGATAAAATGAAAACGGTAAAAGGAGTTAACCCTATGACATCCCTCACCTTACCTTTACCTTACCCTCATCCTCCGGCTTACAAGCCCACCAAAAATCTCTCTGCTTCTCTCAGAGCACTGAGCAGTTTACTCTTCGTCTTCGTTGCTCTCAACTCAAACCACTGAACGAAACCCATGTTTCGAAACGCTTCTCAGCATCCAAACAAGGTACTACTTGTTATCTTTCCTTCCAATTTCATCACTTTTACTTCTCCTTCTCTCGTTTTTGGTTCCAAATTTTCTGGGTTCGGTTTTCTGAATTTTCCGGGAAAATGGAGAACACACGGATTTCCCAGCTTCCAAATAGAAAATATTGCTTCTTTTTTCGTATGGGTCAATCAGAAAGTTTGAAAGAGCCCATATTGTTGTATTATAAATTTATAAGTTTGGTTCAGTGAGAATTTCTTCTAGTTATTATGACCCAGGTAACAAAATTAGGAGAATTTCAATTTCATAGTTCGCTTTCTTATCCTAATTTGCTAACTTCCGGAATTGGTATCGATTTTACTGTCATGGGTGTTACTGAATGCAGCCACAGAAGCAAGAAAGAGAATGGTTGGCAGTGAGCTTTAAGCCAGAGAACTTCATTCCAGGAGTTGTCATTGGCTTCATCCTTGGGTTGTTGCTGGATTTATCACAGCCTGGTAAGGGTCGATCAAAGAAGAACACTGCTTCGGTAGGCCAGCTCCAACAGCGGAGTTTGGTCACAAGCAATGTCAATGGTGGTGAAGAACTTAAAATGGTTTGTCTTTGGAGCCTCATGTTCTTAAAAATTAATCCTATTGAGTTGTTATGCTATTGGCTTATTCGCTTTTGAATAATCGTTGCGTGGAATAGTGTTATTGTTGGTTTATTGCATAATTGCATTCTTAATATTTGTTAACATGATGCATAGGCCTAATTATAGAGGGTCTGGTTTTTTTATCATTGAGAAAACTTGATGAATGAATTTGTTTAATTATATCAGAATCTCGTTGGCCAGGGCGATATAGACAATAGACAAATAAGCATGCTCTTTAAATCGCGTTGTGTCATTGTGTGTCGATGAGTAAGGTTATTTAGTGGCATCGATAATGAGATGCAACAATAACAAAGTGGAACTCATGAATTTGGGAGCAACTTTCCCTAATGATATTTTATAAAAATAAAAAAAAATAAAAAAAATTATGACTAATACCTCCATCGAGACCATTTGAGTTTTAGGTGTCATGGCTCCAGTGGTAGAGAGCATTTGCCCCTACAACTAAGGCCAGAGTCTGAACCTCTGCCTCCTCCTTTGGCCTCTTTTGTACACACAAAGAAAAATGTCTGATTTTTTGTTTTTAAAAAATGAAAAGTTATAAATAATAAAGAAAGCTACCATCCCATGTTTTGGGGGAACCGTTGTATGTCGCATTTGTGTTTTTCAGGTTTTCTTTCTACCAATGCCAATGAATAGCCATACCCGTATCTCATAGAGGTTGTTAACTTCGTAGTACTATTATCAGATTAGTAATGAATAAATGATTTGAGTTCCTTTGCTTAATAGGTTTCTTATTTTGGTTGTTGATGTATTCTCTGATTTCAAGTGCTGAACTGCTCATGACAGGTACTGGTAGTTAGACGAGACCTAAAGATGACAACGGGTAAAATTGCATCTCAGTGTGCTCGTAAGTACCTTAGATTCTCTACTCTACATATGTTTTTGCATCTAATATTGATTTCTGTGAGAGACTCCCTCTCCCAACCTCAACACCTTATTCTTCGAAACCTTTTGCTGAACCATTTAATGAATATTTCTTTCACAAACTTGCAGATGCTGCCACTGGCGCGTATGCAGAACTGATGCAAAGGTGATTATGAGTGGTTTCTGCTGATTCAGTGGATCCTCTCACGAGTCATATACTTATTTACAAGTTTCATTATATCAACGCTATAACAGTATATATTCACTGCAGCCACAGATCCCTTTTGAGACAGTGGGAGCAATACGGGCAACCCAAAATAGTGGTTACATGCAAGAATCAACAAGAAATGTAAGTCGGTGATGTTGTTCTGAACTTCTGACTTCTAAATAACATAAATAAATACGATTCTATTGGGATGAATTGTGGGGCTAAGATTTTACTCTTTATTGTTATAATTTTGAATTTTCTAAATCAGGAATAAGCTGAAGGAAGCAGCTGAGAACATTGGCATTCCAACTTTTGTCGTTGCTGATGCAGGGCGAACAGGTAAGATATTGTAATCATGCAAGTACAAAATTACTCTGAAGTCTGCAACTAGTACGAGAACTGCATATTTGTGAGGAGTATTGGATTTTCGACATAAGTGTAGTTGAGATCTTGACTTTCACTTTATTTTTCCCAGGTTGTGAGTGGATCGAAGACAGTTCTTGCCATTGGACCTGGTATGCATCTCACACTTGGAAATATGTTTTAGATTTTAGAGTACAGAAAAATCTGACATTACCACATGGCTGTCTAGTGATTATTTAGGCTTTCTACATTACTTGCTTTTAAGTTCACCCATAACTAAATGTATAACCGAAGAACAGCGAGAGGTGTCACTGTCTTCTCATTACTCAGTTTTTGTGCAGGACCAAAAGAATCAGTAGATTCAGTGACTGGGAAACAGGCTCTTCTATGATAGTGCCGTAGAAAGCAAAGGCTTCCTCCATCTTCATGTCTCTCTCGTATTCGTGGGTAGCTTTTTCTTCTTCTTTATTGCCTCTCTAATTGAGGCCCTGAAATGTAAATCAAGGTGACGGTGGTTGACATCACGTTGCAAGCAGTGGCCAGACGTGATTCTCTTCTCCCTAGTGTTTATCCAAAGGAAAAACGTCGTTGGTTCTCTAGTAGGTTTCCATTAAGTTCCCGGTAGACCTAACCCCTCTCCATCCCGGACGGAGGTAAGATAGGAAGGAAAGGTGGACGTGTAGCTTGCTAGACAAATTGTAAAATTTTTAGGTCTATTAATATCATTCATTTCTCCTGACTGCCGAAATGTAGCATGAATTGTGTACACGAAAACTCGTCGATTTGGGCAATGAATCTACTGTTGGTAATTGCTTGTGAAGAATTCAGCCTGAAGTTTTCTATGGTGAAATTGAAAGATGTAAATGTACAACAATCTAATATTTACAGCTTCCAATTTCACCATTCAAAAGCGTCATGTGATGAAAGTAATTACAACAATCTTCTTTTTGTTTGGGGAAAGAAGGTGAGCCCAGTACACTTTCTTGTTAAAAGGAAACATTAATCCAATATTTTCCCTTCCATAAAACCACTTTGTTTGATACAAGCGATACGAGAAGAGAAAACTAACGCAAGAATATACATTTCTAGAAGTGAAAGTTTTTAATCTATTAAGCTACTGTATTTTTTTAATACCAACAATACAAATCTCTTGTTAATTATTATGTGACTAATTGGTTTTAACTACGACAAATTTTTTTCTTCCCGTACTTTTGACAAAATAGAATTCTAAACCTAACCTACGGAAACAAAAATAAGAACTTGGGCGCAGAAAAATTTAGTACATTGTCTTACCCAACTGACGTAATTCACAATATAATTTCTCACCCAACACTGGCTAAGTGAAATAATAATATTCTCCATGACCTTTTGGTAATTTTCCCAAAAATGCAAAAACCCCACTAGAATCCCTGCCTCTCCAAGTTCCAACTTCCAACCGCTGTGAGTGTTAAACCCCAAAACCCTAACTCCGCTCATTCTCCGCCCAGTGCTCCAATGGCCTCTCGCTGCAGATCTTTCTCGAAGCCGGCTTTTTCTCTTCTCAAATCTGCCGTCAACAAACCGGCGTTCAAGGCCACTCCCATGTCTTCTCTCCCCTCCACCCGCCCTTCAATCAATCTCTCAAGGTACGCGAAGCCTTCAAACCTGTAAAATTCTCAGTCTTTGGGAATTTTTCAATTGGTTATTGTCGAACTTTTGGATTTCAGGTCGTTTTCTCAATTGGGGATTTCCTCAAATCAGCAAAGCTCTTGACTTTTTTTTTCGATATTTTTGAATTTCAGGCCGATTCCGCAGTTGGGTTGTCTACAATCTCTGCTTCCATTTCACACGGCGGTGTCTTCAGCTCGGCTCACGTCGTGCCTTGGCATTGACTCTAGGAGCTCAAGGTCGTTGTCTCAGGGTACGCTTGGTGCAAACCCAGGAGTTTGATTTCTCCAATGTATTGTATTTATTATCTGTAAGCAACTTTTTTACTCTATAGCTAGCTAAAATTTGAATCCTGAATTTGTATTGATCTTCATTTTCTCAGTTTATAATGCTCAATTTGTTTACTCGTCGTTGCAAAATCTGTGAAACGAAGAGGTAGAAAATTGGTATTCATGTAGATCAGTCTGAACCTTTATGTCTTTATTAGCTTCTTACTCAGATTGTGCAAACTTGAGTTCTTTTTTTTTATTGTGATTTTTCTAGCCATATTTTTGGTCTGATAATTAAGTTTACAGAAGCAAGTTTGGACCACCTAGTTAGAAAATTGAGAGTGTAAATAACATCTAAAACTGGTAGAGTATTAGTACTGCTCAAGTAAATAACATACAACATGTCACAATTCTGAATTTGTCTATTGTTATGTGTTACCTGTGATAATACTTTAGCTTTCGGAAAGATTCAAATTTTAGCTATGGCACCTAGATTGGGGATGGTAGGTGTTTCATGCTGCCAATGGTGTTCAAACTTGATTGGTTTTGTGTTTTCCTTTATTAGATTAAAGCCAGTGACTTTTAAATTATTAGATTAAAGCCAGTGACTTTTAAATTATTAGATTAAAGCCAGTGACTTTTAAACTTCTATGCATGGGAAGAAAGATTTCATCAAAAGTTTTATGCATGGAAGCCTGGAGCCAAATTGCACACCCCATACCACATAATAGGAACTTTCAAGAAGAATTTTGTCCATCTGATGTATTTTGAGAAACTAATGCCAAATAATCTTTATAGTCTTAAAAAAAGAGAAAAAGGGGTATGCATCTAGTCCATGCACTGTACTGAAGCAATTGTCTCTACCCTAAATTTCCTATTCTTGAGGTCCAGTTTCATAATGTTTCGATGTTTTTCCCCAGATGATCTTGTGAAGTCATGGTCGGAGTTTGAGCTTCAATTTGTTTTCCAGACATTTAAGTCCTTACAAACGTGGACACGGTCGTCACTTTAACCATTTTGTTCAGTGCTAACATCTAAGCTGTTTTGTATTGTCTATTTAGGTTTGATGAATGCTTGAACATTATCAATCTAAATGAGTCATATTCGTTTCATGGATTGTATATGATAGTGATAGTAAAAATTACAATTCCATGCTGGAATACCTGGTGATATGTAAGGGTTTATTTAATCATGCACTATAATTAACTTCTAGATGTCTACTGTCGTTGACTTTTTCTCTAATCACAATCCTGAAAACCTAATTCTGTTCTGGGTATAAGCCATCAGATGAAGATTGTGTGTTTTTCCCATTCTGACGTCAATAGTCAGTATGTGGGAGGCTCCATCCTCTTTGTTAAGGCTGAAGATAGATGTGAAAACAATAATATTGTTTTATGAGTGAATTACCCTTCATTCTTTGGGTCTCCAACACTTGATTCTTAACCTTTACGCAGTTTTTCTATATATGCACAGAGTGGTAAACAGAAGCATGGATGTTTGTTTTTATTATTATTACTGACTGCCCTTCCTAATAAGATATTTCAATTATCAAAATAGGTTCATTTACCAACTTCTAATAGTAGTTTGCAACCACTGAACTTTTCGCACTTCATGTAGTAATACTGATTATACGTCTGGTTTAGTTTGTTCTGCAGTTTGATAAGGAGGTAGTTTACTCGTTTAAGTCGTTTTTAGTAAGATGTGCTACTATCAGTTGATTATAACTCATTGCTTGTTTTTCTGCTTCTTTAATACATTCAGAACTAGGTCTCAGCGTGCCTCGATAAGAGATTGAAGAAGTTGGAAGATAGAGGCCAATGGATCAGTCTCATCACCTCTGCTACCAGCAAGTCCTTTTCATCATCCATTGGAGTTAAATTCTAAACAGTTTTGTATCCTGAAGATGTAGCACAGTAGCTGCGAGAAATGAATTCTCTGACTCGTTGCTATAATTTTTTAAATTCTCCCTCAAATATTTTGTTTACCTTCCCCATGGCTACCACAGAAATTTCCATTATACACCGATGTACACTCACTCATGCATGTCATACATTGCAGCGTAGTAGAATTTTCGGGATTTTTCGTATACTCTATAACGGCACAGCAGCAATGTAGAGGAGAAAATAATAGTGATGATTTTGTTAAATTTCAAAGGGTGATATTTTGACGTGTGTTGTAAGTTACAGTTTTCCAACTTTCTCTTTTAACCTGGAAGTTAAGTAAAGGCGCCGTTGCCAAGGTGGGCAATTGGGTTTCTGCCACGTAGCATGAAATTTGATAAAAGGTTTAGGAATAGGAAACGTGAAGGGCAGGTGAGGATGCGGGGCGGTCGATGTGATAAATTGAAAACGTCCAAATTGTTTCCCATTTGTTTGAAAAAAGAGCTTGGCCTGAGTCCCAATTTCAATGCCTCCTAACTGCTCCATCACACAATACACTTACATGTGCGCTCTCTCTCTATACAAGGTCCTCTGCATCTACACACTGCTTTCAGATCCAAGCTATGTGCATGTACGGAACTCATTGTCAATGTGTCACTTTCCAAACATGATTGAAGTGTAACCAAAATCTAATCGGTTGTTTCGTATTCAAGCGATTTACTGCTCAAGTGGTTAATAATACTTTATTTTTTCGCCTTAGATCATGTGTTCGATTTTTACTGTCTTGTTATTGCTTGTACGGGCGATTTTGATTCTTTATAGTTGGGTGAATTTGCACTTCAGTCTGTGCAGTTTTAGTAGTTGCAAGTCATTGTCTTTGAATTGCAATGATGGATAGGGTTTGTTGTTCAACTCATTACGTCTTGAATTTAAACACTTCTCCTTTCCTTAGTCTATCTTAGAATAGTGATATCGCGTGACCCAGAATAATACTAAAAATCCATTACCCACTGAACGAGCCATGACTGCCAGATATTTCAAATCTTATATTATGAACATCAAAACCCCACTCCATAGATAAATAAACAGTTGTCTTTAGCAGCTCCTTCTGCTGGTGTCTACAAATAACCTGTCCTGTGTATCTGTACAGTTACTACTTGTTGAATGGAAGTTTAATTAATTAATAAAATGTATCAAAGTTGGTTGGTTACCATGTTAGGGCAATTGAGAGAGAAAAAGCTTTGGGAAGCTTATACAAATGGTGGCCAAGTCCTTGTCAGAATAAAGAGGTGGTGGGAAAGGGGACAAAACCCTTTAATAATGAACATGTACATATGCCCCCATGCATGGAAGCCATTTACTACTTTTGGTTTCAAAGATTTCAATTAGTGACTAATGACCATGCTAAGTAGTATTAAGCTTTAAACTAATCCTCCCAACTAAATGAGCAGTCTTCTCACCTTTGCTTGATTTGGTCATTTTATTGAGTGGAGTTGCTTTTTCTTCCATGAAGTGTGGTTGAAGGGATTCTCATTTCCTTACCAGGTCAAATGTAACAGAATTAATTCACTTTTAATCTCGATTTTGTATTATCCTAATTCAAACATCTGATAATGTTGGTGTAAAACACTTAAAGAACTAAATTATAGATGTAAGCACATCTCATCTTATTAGTGCAACAGTTGTTGAATAACAGTTGAGTGCAGTAGTAGTTAGGGCAATAAGTATGGTTAAAGACATTTCTCAATTGTACAGTGAAATAACAATTGAGTGCCTGTGTTTTTTTCTTCAAAAGTATTTCCTATCATGAAAATAATTTTTATTACAAGTATGGCGATGTTTTCGCTCGAAACTCCATTCTATTGAGGAGTGCGAGGACATATTTTTAATCCTAACTCGAATGTAACGTACTTTTCTAATTGTTTGGAATCTTATGAGTGGAATTAATCAAATTCAAATTTTCTCATTCTGTTTCAAAATACCGGCTCATGTTTGAGTATGATGAATCACTTCGTGCTAACTTGTTGCTAATAAACCTTTCGGCCTCATATAAGAATGAAAAATTGGAGCATTTTCTTCTCCGGTGGATGAAGAGTCACGATATTCTACATTAAATTACATTGAAGAAAAAAAAAAGGAGTGTTCAAATTCAAAACTTATTAAACTAAAAAGGAAAACTATAACCAATGCAACAATCAACCACCTGCAATTTACTTGTCATTTACATTTCCCCCTTTTCGTGACATTAGAAAGTAAGGCTAAACTTAATTAAATTTTAAAGTAATATATTCAGTTATATTATAAGATTAATATTATTTTTATTGTTTGTTACAAATTAATATTAATGCAGAAACTGGTGTGTTTGCGTTTGTCAGTGATGGCATCATAAACCAGTGAGACTGGGTGCATGAGGGCATGAAAAAGAGGCACGTGACCACCGCAAACTTTGCTACACCCTCACGCTAATGTACAAATATTCAACAGAATTAACTATTTAATAATTAAAGAAGCAATTTTTATTTAAATTAAATTATTCCCACCAGTACTACTAAGGCTAAAGGTTCCCTGCTTAATTTCTTATTATTTTTCCTGTTTACTTTGTTGGCCAACGATAAGAAGCAAATCAAATTTCAGAGACAGAAAATCGTACGAATTAGAAAGCCAGCTTAAGAAAATATCACTAATTTATAGGACAATGTACAAATTAAACTTAATTAACAGACATTTGGATCAGCACCGCCTGGATCCTCCATGCACATGTATGCAATATCATAGCATATGTCAACTTCAATTAACAATTTGATTTTCATTTACTAGAAAATAACTTTTTTGTACGAACGATATTGAAGGTGTGAAAAATCAAATTTAAACTCGAGGCTTCAAATACAAAGGTTAATCTTCTAATCAACTGAGCTGCAAAATCCTTGCACACTAAATTAATTTACACTGCTAACAATGCATATTTTCATCATAGGCATTGTCACATCCCAGCCCGGACCGCCCAGGTTAGGATGTGACAGGCATACACTTAAAAGAATCAGTTTACTACAAAACACTGCATTTTTACAATGTAATAACAATTAAGTGAGATAACGGTTACCTTTATAATTTTATATTCATGAATCATAATAGAATTTTAAGCCCTTTTTCTCATGTAAAGGAGTTTTGAAGTACTTGTGAGGAACCCTAAATACCAAACCTCGCTCTGAAATGGTATTTGGTTCCACCCAAGTTCGACATCAATAATTTATTTATAAATAAATGGTTGGGGACGAATTTTAGGATTGTATTACATACAACACGTCCTAGATTCGAATCCTGACGCTGATGAATCACACGATGATGGAGTATTCCCAACTTCCGAAAAAATGAACTGCAGGAATGAAATCACCCGCCAATCCTCTTTTAAATAAAGAAATAAATTAGGAAACCAAAAATTGAAGACAAACTAGGGACTAACTTGTATTACTGTGGCCTTGGTCCAAGTACTTGTAGTCGTAGACTTACGCTGAAATATTGTGGAAGTGAAACCACGTGCAATAAATGGATAGAAAAAGTGTGGATTTTGCGAAATACATGCATCTTCAATCTTTTCCTTTTCATCGGGAATTTCGTATTTGATTTTCCCCATGTCTTAAAAAGTGAGAAAATAACAAAATCAGCCAACCGGATTTCTTGCAGCTGAAAACGATGTGAAAATAATCTGCCTCTTCTTTCTAACATTCTCTGAAATGGTTAAAATCCCCCCACTGGCTTCAATCAGTTTTTCACTGAAATTCATGCAAAATATATAATATTAGATTAGTGGTAATATTCCTTTCTATTCTTCTAATAAAAATCTGTAAATTAAAAATAACATTGTAATTTACTGTTGTGCAATAAGTTTGTAGCTCGAATTACTCTTTATTCGAGTTTTTGTATTATTGTTCTCAGTATCACTTGTGTGAAACAGGAAAAAAGAAGAAGAAGTCGGTTAATATGCTTTCAAGGCTTGTAGCTCAAGCAATTAACATGATATACTCTGCAGTCGAGTTTCTGTATTTGAAGCCTTTTTTGTCACTCGTGTCAAACTGGATAAAGTTGAAGTTCTACCATAAAACTAATCAGCAATATGAAGAATAACCAAATTACTTATAAGCATATACAAAGTCCCTTATTTTGCCGATGTTGGATTCACTCTCAACACGACCCTTCACGTGTGACAAATTTTCAAACCTAACACGTGGACTCTCAAATCAGGTGACATGGAGCATGTGTGGTCATTAAGCTTCACAAGTGGGACAACCTACTCTGATACCATGAAGAATGTTGAGGTTCCACTATAATTTCAATTGACAATATGAGGAGTAGCTCAACTACTTATTAACACATATAAAATCTCTCATTTCGGAGAAATGAGATTCACTTTTAACACAAACCGAAACAAAACGAAACTAAATTAGTTTTAGCTGTGCGAATGATGAGTAATTAATTACTAAACAGGAGGAGAGAGATTAAAGAGGGTGGAGTCCAGCAATTTTTGTGATGCAAATTATGATTAGGTTTGGAGACCTTTCACTTGGTGATGGTGGGTTGTCAACAAGATAACATGATTATCTCTTACCAGACACCAACATAGTGGGTGCACATTTGGACAACTATAACATGTATACATCAAAATTCCATTTCAATCCTCTGGAGTCTGTCCCCATGAACATTTCTTGCCAATAATTACCTTAATTACATATAAATATCATGCATACAAACCCTAGATATGTGGAAAAAGTAGTGTTAATTCATGTAGAAAACAAATCATTAACTTGGAAATTAAGGTTATCCCTTAATAACAATGATGACGAAGATGATACTACTCCAACTCTTTTAAACACACTGGACGCAATTTCAAACCCTGAACAATGTGGTAAGGACAAACGAGTTATGATGGTTTCCCAATGAAAAGATATGAATTATGTTCAATGGAAATTATTTCAGTGCATGATGAATTTTTGTAAGTCAAAATAGATATTTGTTTTTCGTTTTGAGGACGTTAGTGGAGTTCAGTCGACTTCGAACTATTTTGTGGTAATTTCTTTCTTTGGTGGTTTTAAGGGAGGAACTTTTTCGCTATGAACAAAACTAGTGTGCATTTTGCTCAATTGAATTTTAGAAAAAGAAAATAACATTACGAATACGAAATTGTCTAATTAACAAAAGGAAAAAGAAGAAGAAGATCAACTGGGGCCCACTAAATTAACCTCGAAAAGTTGCCTAGTTTTAGCTAACTCTCGCTGCTGCACTAGATCAGCTGCCG